TGGATACTTGGGTTGTTTCTAGTTTGGGGCTATAGTGAATAAACCTGCTACAATAATACTGAAACACATCTTATGGACATGTATTTTCATTTCTCTTCATAGCACCTAGAAATGGAATCTCTGGACCATTTGGTAAAATATGTGTAGCTTTATTTAAAGAAACATGCCAATTTCCCAATTGTTTTACTATTTTATATTTTTACTACCTGATAGTAGTATTTTAATTTTTCTACATGGGTGTCAGCATTTGGTCTTTCACATTTTAGCCATTGTTAAGGGCATTAGGTGGACTCTTCAAGTTTTAGTTGGCAGTTTTCTGATTACTTACAGTGAATGCATCCTTTCAAGTGTTAATCAGTCGGGTGCAGATCTGTCTTCCATTATGAAGTACTTTGTCCACTTTTTACTGGGCTGTTAGTCTTTTTGTTATTGCTTTGTAGGAGTTTTTCGTGCATTTTTGGGTCTGTTTGCTTTCATTTTAATTTTCCTTGCTTTTTTATTTTCTAACAATTTCTTATATTTTTCATTTCTTCTTTCCTCTTGGTGAGCAGAATTTTATTCTCTTAATGAAGTTCAGTTTATTCAATTTTGTTATATGGTTAGTGCTTTTTGTGTTTTCCAAAAAATTTTTACATACCTTCAAGTTGAGAAGATTTTGTAACTTTTTCTTTTTTTTTTTGGTACCAGGACTCGAACTTATCACCTTGTACTTGCTGGGCAGGCACCATGCCACTGAGCTAAATCCCCAGTCCCTAAGTTGAGAAGATTTTTTGCCTTATATTTTCTTGTAAAAGTTTTATAGTTTTAAACTTTCTATTGAGTGCTATGATTCACAGTAAATTAATTTTTGTGTGGGGAGTGTGATATGGTTCAGTGCTTTAAAGACATTATCTTATTGTTTCTGAATGAGAAATTAGCCATCATTTTTACTATCTTTCCTCTTTCTTTCTTTCTTCTTTTTTTTTTTTTTTTTGTACCAGGAATTGAACTCACAGCCTTGCACTTGCCAGGCAGGCATGTGCTGCTGAGCTATATCCCTGGCCTTATTTTCCTTTCTACAATGCATCTATTTTTCTTTTAAACTCTTTGAAATTTTTTATTTTCAGTAGTTGGTCTATTTCATGGCCAGATGTTGTTTTATTTTTGTTTTTATTCTGCATAGAGTTTCTTGAAATTACTGGATTAGTAGAATGATGTTTTTACCAAATTCGAGGCTTCTTGAACAATTAGTGTTTCAATTCATTCTTTCTCTTTTCCTTTTGAACTCTGTATTAGTCAGCTTTCCATTGCTGTGACCAAATACCTCACATAAACAACTTAAAGGAGATTTAGTCCATGGCCAGCTGGCTCTGTGGTGGAACCATTATGGAGAAAGTGCACGGCAGAGGAAAGATGCTCACCTCATGGCCACCAGGAAGCTGAGTGATCAAGAATCAAAAATATACCTCTCAAAGGACTGCCCTGCAATGATCTGCTTCCTCCAGCTAGGCCCTACCTCCTAATAATCCACTTAGCTATAAACTCCTCAATGAGCTAATCCATTGACAAGGTTAGCACCCTCAAAATCCACTCACCTCTCCAATCAAGTTGACAGTCAAGATTAATTGTCACAAGTCAAAAATATATGTCATGTGATAGTGTTCCACTGGTCACTGAGGTTCCCTCTCTCCTCCCCCATTTATTCTTTTTCAGTTCTTGTTCTTCAAATTGGATAATTTCTATTGACCCATCTTCAAGTTCACTATCCCTTCTCCAATGTGCTTGTAAATCCATCCAATAAAAATTCATTTCTAATATCATACTCTTTGGCTTTAAAATCTCCATTTGGAAGCACAAGCAACAAAGCAAAAATATATGAAAAAGTGTGGCTGCGTATAATGTAAAAGCTTCTGCCCAACAAAATGATAAGTCAACCTATAGACTGGGGGAAAATATGTGCAAGCCATATATTTGATAAGGGGTTAGAATCTGAAATATATAAACAAGTTATTCAATTCAACAGCAAAAGGCCAAATAACTCAATTTAAAAATGGGCAAAAAAGCTAAATAGATATTTCTCAAAAACAGACAGGAAGGGCCAGGGATATAGCTCAGCAGCACAAGTGTGAGGTTGTGAGTTCGATTCCTGGTACCAAAAAAAAATAAAAAGTAGACAGGAAAATGCCAAGAGGTATATGAAAAGGCATTCAACATTACTATCATCAGGGAAATGCAAATCAAAATCACAATGAGATGTCATTGCACACTGGTTAAAATGGCTTTTATAAAAAAAGACAAGAAGTAGCAAGTGTTGGTGAGGTTGTGGAAAAGAGGAGCTGTTGGAGGAGACGTGGGTTGGAGGGAGGAGATGCGCACTGTCAGAAGGGGTATGGAAAAAAAAAAGAAGGGGTATAGATTGTTGATGTAGATTTGAGCAACCATTGTGGAAAACAGTAGGAAGTTTCCTAGAAATATTAGAAGCAGAACTACCATATGACCTACCAATCCCTCTGCTGACTACACAACCTAAAGAAATGCAATTATTATCTTGCAAAATATCTGCCTTCTTGTGTTCATTGCTCTGTCATTCACAGTAGTCAAGATACAGAAACAAGCAAGGTGTCTATTGATATACGACTGGATGAAGAAATTGTTGTAATGGAATGCTCTGCGCCTTTGAAGGAGATGCTCACATTTGCAGTGACCTGGGTGGACCCGGACAGCATTATGCTAAGTGAAACAGGCAGACAGAGAAAGACAAATGCTGCATGAGCTCAGCAGAATCATGTGGAGTCTTTTTTTTTTGTTTTGTTTTGGTTTTCTCTGGTACCAGGAACCGAACTCACGACCTTGCGCATGCCAGGCAGGCGCTTTTGCTGCTGAGCTAAATCCCCAGCCCCATGTGGAGTCTTTTAAAAAAGCCCCAATACATATAAACAGGTAACAAAACAGTAGTCGTTAGGAGGTGGGGATGAGTGAGTGGAAAAGGGGAAAAAATATAGCTTAGAATGTCTGAAGTTGTTATGTAGGATAAGTCTATAGCTAATAACTTCATATTATATGCTGATGGTATTATAGGTCTCCTTAGCACACAACAGAAAAAAGGGCTGAATATATGTATTTGATCTATATTGTATATATGATTGCATTATTTGTTGACTGTAATAATCTTTTCATTAGGTATATGTATATCAATACAGAAATCATATACTTTAAATATATACAATAAAAATAGGTGTAATGTAAAAAAAATTCATTCTATTCTTGTAGTGCTTTTTTTTTTTTTTTTTTTTTTTTTGGAGATGAGGTCTTGCTATGTAGTTCAGGCTTGCTGTGAATTTGCTGTGTAGCTCAGGCTGGCCTCAAACTCATGGCGATTCTCCTGCCTCAGACTCCCGAGTTCTGGGATTACAGGCATATGCCACCACGCCCGGCCTCTTACAGTGAGTTTGTACTGTGTCAAATAGCTGAGCTGGAAGTACATTTCCTGGACTTGTTCCGTGTGCGGGTCCAAGTTAGGGGTGGCCAAAGCAAAGTCTGCCAGAGAGTCCTAGGGCAGAAGTGCAGCCACTGCTGTTACATACACTGGAGGTCCGTGATGCGCTGGGCACTGCGTGGTCTGCTCTGCCCTGCCCACGCTGGCTGCTAGCATGTACGTGTGTGCACTTGAGTCAGACGGGTTCCTGTGGAAGGACCGGAGCCTGGTAAAGCACATTGCATCTGCCTCTCTTTTCTCCCATTGCTGACTATTCATTCCAAACGATCAAATATCATGGGGATGATAAAAAGGGCCCTAATTCGAATGCTCTAGAAGACTTTGCTTTTCTGGTTTGTTCTTTTAAACAACGTGCCCAAGGACATTTGGCCAAGATGTTGCTGGTGGCTCAGAAAGTATGACACCTGCTCTTGGACTTCATTTTGAAGCAAAAAGCCCACAGTGAGGTGATAGATAGGAAGCCCACAAGCCAAGCAGGCACCTGACACATTTGATATACTAGACTTTGGCCTGGGCTAGGTTCTTAATACTTTTGGAATTAGCTAGGCACATTTTAAGTAAGATTTTTGACTCTGTCCATTAGACATGCGTATCTCTCTGGTTTGGCATAGTTCTCAATACTATTGACCCTGCGGCCTAGGTGAGTCCGTTTCACATTTACATTTCCACTTGACCCCATAGGTTTCTAAGTTTGTGAGTCCTTCTGTCAGTCACGCTGGGGATGCTACTACTTTCCTGAGTGGTGCCACTGTGGCTGCAGATGGAGAAAGGTCTGAATCGATCCATAGGAAATTAGGACGCATAGGTGACTGTGTCCCAGGAGACAGACTGGAACGATGACAGGTATTCCCACAATGCTTTAAGAAAGCTTTCCTTGGCCAGGACCTGGACTTGAACATTGTTCCTACAGACGAACCAGCTTATAAACTGAGCACCACTGAGCTGAGAGGGCCGATCAGTGGGCAGCTGGAACACGCTGCCAGAGGGCGGACTCTTAGAATGAGAAGACATCGGGGAGGCAGAGCAGTCAGTGGTGGAAAAAACAGCCTCATCAGAGAAGAGTGGATCATAATGGCCAGAGCAGGTAGAAGCTCAGTGCCACTGTGCTGATGCCATACACAGTGTGGGCCAGGAGCTTCCGGGGAGAGGGAAAAGACAGGAAGGATTCAAGGGGCTGAGTGAGGTCTAATGGGGTGGATGGAGTGGAGAAGTCAGTGGTTTTTGTTTTATTTATATTTGCAGTGCTGGGCTCTCATACATGCTAGGCAGGGTCTACCACTGCTGCACTTCCAACACCTCAAGACACAAGATTTTAAGACAAAATAGAAACACTATTTTAGGGGCTGGGGATATAGCTCAGCTGCATAAGCACCTGCCTGGCAAGCGCAAGGTGCTGAGTTTGATTCCCAGTACCAAAAAAAATCAAAAAACAAACAAAGAAAACCAGAAACAGTATTTTAGAGACATTTTGGGGGAAATCTTTAGAGACTTGAGAATTCAGAGCCAGTGCTTCACAAAAGACCCAGCCACCAGAGGTTATGGGCGTGTAGTCTAGAATTGCAATATATTATCTGGGTGACACCAGGCAAGCTTCTGGCTTCTCTGAATGGCCAAAAAATAGGGAAAGGATAGTACTAACTTTATAAGGTGGTGTTAAATGAGTGAATACTTGAAAGTACTCAACCCAGTTTCAAGTAAGTGTGGACCATCATTGTTAGTACTCTTAGTAGTAAAAGCATGAACAGCTACACGCTATGAAATATCTGTAACAGTTCTTTCACTCCTCCCTTCTCCTCTTCCTCCTTTACAGCAAAGCACTTATGTACCAGGAAGTTTCGGTTACATTGGAAGTATGTAGCCTGGGTGGTTGATTAGCGGTGATGAAATATTAGGCAGATATTTCAGGCCATGGTCGGACTGCTGGGTGTGGTTAGGACTCTGCCTTGTGGCTTTGAGAAGGGTGAAGGCAACATGAGGACACTGAGCCCTGGGAGGACAGAGTGGGTGCAAACCACACCTACGGAGTTGATGTGTTTGAGACAGGGAATAACCACACTCAGATCTGTTTTCAGGCTGCTGGGTGCCCCATGCACCTTACGTCCCACTATGGGCTAAGTGCTCTGGGTGGCAACCCTCATGCATGTGAGCAGGAGCCCAGCTGGGATGAGGATGGGGTGACTGGGAGAAGCCTTGGCTTTTTTTTGGATCAGGAGAAGGAGCAGCTGTCACAGGTGGCCTGATACCATCAAAATTGCCCATTCTGCCCTTCCCACCCCAGAGCTTATAAAAGCCCAGAAAGATGGCACAGACATCAGAGCATCGTCACAATGAAAAGCCGCTGATGGCCCAAAAGGGACGCTTTGCTTTCCAGTGCTTTCCTCTTTGGCCTCTGTAGAGGGCTGTGCTTGTGGAAGAACTTGGGTCTAATTTCTGCAGACAGATGCTGTGTTCTCTGAGCCGAGGCAGATGGGCAGCAGGAGGAGGAGGTGGGGGTGGCTGTGTGGGAGGAGGTGACATTTGTAAATATGTCAGGGGACAATGCAAAATCAGTGGATGCAATGGGACCTGCTAAGCGAGGGGATGCACTGGCCTTTTCTAAATGATGTGCGGGTTTGTAGCATTAGTGGTATAACATGGGTATCGATTCCCGATGCTCTATGATTACAAGTGGGTAAAAATCAGCTACAAGGTGTAGCAGATATTTTCGATCTCTTCTCGCATAACATGCTTTTGCAGAGCTGCTGACAATTTGCACAATTAACTGTCACTTTCCCCCTTCTCATCATGAACAACCAAAGGGCCAAATAGCAGGCAGCAGAAGGAAGAAGAGCTGTAGGTGACTTGGGCTAACCCGCCGCACTCACTGGTCTCCAAAGAACCAATCACGGATGTGAACAGGAGTGTGGCTTCTCGGCCAGAGTTTCCCTGGGGCAGCCACTCCCTTGGACAGACCTCTAACCAAGCTCTATAGGCTACAGCAAGCACCCATATAAGCCTATGTGAAGCTAAATCTGAATCAAATCTCAGTGGAAAGGTTGAAATTTGCCTTACTAGAACTGCATCCTGGTTCAACAACCAGCTCCTTACCCCTTTGTCCAGAGGAACCTTCACATCCATAGAGAAAGAACCTGTTTCCCCGTTGATCATGGCTGTCCTCAGCTTGGAGAGGAAAGAGAATGATGTCAGTTCCACGGGTCACACTGCAGGATTTGAGGACCTGAGCTTTGCTGATCAGATTAGAGGAGATCCCTTGGGACACTTGGTTCTTCACCTTTCCCCCAAACAGCATGCCAGAAAGGAAGAGAGACCTGACTCCGGGTGACATTTAGGTTATAATTCTGGGCAGTCACCAAGACAATGCTCTGAAGGGGCCTGGGGCATTAGGGGATCCAGTGTCATGTTGCTGAGACATAATTTCATCTAAGATATGATATGGAGACCAAAGGCCAGGCTCACACATCACTGAAACTCAAACTCAGTAGTTTAGAGATATAGGTTCATCCTGTCTCTATAATCCCTGTGACTTAGGAAGATATACTTTCTTAGTTGTTAAAAGATTTACACATTACAGGAATTCTGGTTGGGGTTTGTAAAGGCCCTGGGATTGAACCATTCTGCTTGTGAAGAACAGAGAAATCTCAATGCCCATTGTCATTCATTGGTTTGATATGGAGCTACATAAACCAGCTTCTCTTTGCCCTTCTTTTCCCCACTCACGACTTCAGCTTGGTCTTCCCACTCCACTTCAGAGAGGTCCACACTGTTGTAGTTGGGCTTGGGCTTTAGTTTTTTCCCCTCTCTGTACTGGAGTGGGTGGGCAGGAAGGAAAATACCAGGTTAGCATGTGGCCTTACTCTTATTATTCTCTATTACATAAAGCCTTTCGTGTATATAAATGAAATCAAAGAATCTTAGGGATTCCTTAAGCTATCTGGACCAAACTTCCATCCAACGCACAGCTTCCCTTGCCAACATTTGTGACAGATGGTCTCATGGCCGCTGGGTGGATATTTCCCAAGACGAGGACCTCCCTGGTTTGTGAGTCAGCTGTCATAGTTTGGACAGCTCTAGTTGTTAGAAAGTTCTTCCTCCTACAGACCTGGAATTTGCCTCCCTGTAACTTTCATCCACTGATCTTAGTTCTTTCCCCTGGAGCCACAGAATGTGCTCCTCCTGACAACGCTTCAGCTGTTCAAAGGCCCTGACACTCTTGGGAGTGACTTCTCCCAGCCTAACATTCCCAGTTTGCACATGGTTTGGCTCCCTCTGAATACGTTCTGCTTTGTCAGTATCATTCCAAAGACAGATTCCAGGATAAAAATTAATATTCCATATGGAATCTGGCCACTATGGTATGGCGTATGACCTGTGCACTGAAGTAGCCTTCAGCTGTAGTGGCTGCCTAGGAGTCTGCTGGCTTCCTGGACAGTCACACTACTGTGACAGCTAAGATGAAGGTCATAGTCAGCCAGACTTTGGCCTCCCTCCATCCCATGATGCACTGTTGAATCACATATCTGCATATTCCTAATCAATTTCATCTCATTCGTTGTAGCTCATTGCTGTATGAGAATACTTTTTTTGAGAATACTTCATTGTGCTCATTTTCTCACTTACTAGATTAGCCATATCTCACAGACCTTACAACATCTGTCATGTGCATTTTCATCTTGTGGACAGAATGTTTGAATGAGACAGAGCCAAGGGCAGGTCTGCAGAGCTTAATAACAGCTCGTCTCCAACTTGATGGATACACATTAATTAACATTTTATGATGATTATTTTTTGGCCTTGACCCCCTTCCCCATGCAAAGACAGGTATCACCACATTGTCTACAGTTAAGTCTTCAGTACTTCCTAGGTTCTCTTTGGTAACCCCACTAAAAGGAAAGAGGATAGTTTATCATCAGGGTAAATTGAAAACGTGATTGTCTACTTTAGTAAAATGAGGCCCCCAGCAGATGCTTGTATGGTTGAAATCTCTGTCTTTGTGTACTCTGATTCTGAGAGTATTTTTAAAAATTATTTCATAATTTTTTCGAAGAAAGCATCTTCTTTTTTCTTGCCTGTACAGGATGTCTGTTTCTTTGGAGTGAGTGCAACACTCCACTACCTTTTCTAACTTCTGATGCCCCCCGAAGGGTCATATTTAGCCCTTCATATTAAATCCACAATTCTGCTCTGTTAAGGGCACTGACATAGGAAGAGTTCAGGGCTACACGTGAAATGATTCATGACCTTTTCATTTATTGCTAGGATCAAACTTTAATGTTTTCCTGATAGTGGCTTCATTGGAGAGCTCATGACATTGGCCTTCCCACATCTCGTTGTGTAATCATGTCCCATGTGGTATTATTCTGTTTAATTTGTTGAAACCTTACTTCCTTAATTTGACATAAACTTCTGTTCATATCATTTTTCAAAGCATCATAAGGTCAGGCACATGGTAGACACATCAAGGGCAAAGAAAATGATGCATTGCCTTGAACTCTATTACTTGACTGAAGACTAGGGGAGGGGACAGCACTAAGATCCCTCTAGGATTTTAGCTCCCTTACCAGCCATTGCACTGAAAGTGGCAGCTGTGATGGCCATGGCCATGGACATGGACATGTACTGTGGCCAGGGAAGGAGAGAGCCCTCCATTTTAGGGTAGAGCTTTCAGATAGAACAATGCAACTTTCTTTCTCAGCCAACACTTGCTGAGTTGAACTCACGTGAAAATACCCTGAGGGCCTGTATCAATAAAACAGAGAGAGCTACGACATGGGTGGGCTTACTCAGAAACAGCCTAAGACAAACTTATGGGCCTTGTCCCACCCACTGCCCTCTACCTGTCATGAGAGGTCCCCTTGTCATTTTTTTTGTGAGCCCATTGTTCATGCCCTCTTCAGGGGCCTCTCGAGTTCTACTGATACACTTGTTAAGCTGCAAGAGAACCAGAGCTACTGAGGCAGTCAAGGGACTGTGAGCAAATGTCTACTATGCTTGAATCTGTAATGTCCTCCAAAAGCTCATGTATTATAGGCATAGTCCCCAGTATGGTGACTTTTAAGGGGTGTGGTCTAGTGGGAGCAAGTTAGGTCATTGGCAGTGTGACTTCAGAGAAGATTCTAGATTTTTCTCTCTCTCTCTTTCCTCTCCCATCACCACTGGTACTATATGTACCCGCCATAACATGATGCCACACCACCACCAGAGGCCTAAAGACAATAGGTCAACTGACTATGAACTGAAACCTCCAAAACTGTACACCAAAATAAGTCTTTTCTCTTTGTAAGTTGATTTTCTCAGGTATTTTGTTACAGTAGTAGAAAGCTGACTAACACACTGTCCCACAGAGTTCTTTAGCTTCCAAACCACAGCCTTAAATTACATGCTTTCTGGTGTGCTTGTCAATAATTTCACATATTTTTGTCTTGTCTGTTACTAGGTTATAAACAATTTGAAAACAGGGACTGTGGCTTAAATATATTTTTTCTCATATTATCCACTGTGTTTTGAATGTTTTGTGAACTACTCCCAAAGCCCATAATATTAGGATCCCAAGGCAAATAAGATTTGTACCTACCAAAGGTCGAAGATCAGGATGTGAGAGGATGTAGCCATTGTTAGTGTTCAGAAAGGCATATCCATGTACCCCAAGCTGCCAGAGTCAGAGATAGAGAGCATTAGATGGCTGTTTGTGTTGGATGACTGTGTTGGGAAGGGGTCTGTGTTTGTATAGTGATTCCAGATGGCAGCCCACAGCTATGAGATTTTCAGCTACAAAGGTAACTGAGCCAGCATCATACTTCCACCAATTGATTCTGGAAGTCCTTTCCAAATCCTACTATTTGGAGCAGCCATATCAGTGTGTATCATTACCTGACTCTTTCCCAACACATGCTCTAGATACCTTGATGATGTCATCTCATTCACTCTCAAAGCTAGACTGAAGTATGGAGAAGCGGATTGAGAAACTGAAGCAATGGGCAGACAAATAACCTCCTGAAGGCTACAAAGCAAGTCATAACTAGTGATGGCAAAGGGTCCCAGGAGGCCAAACTACTATCACCATGCTCAACGCTATGCTTGCCTGGGATCCAGATGGAGCAGACCCTTCCTAGTTGTGGGCTTGGCACCACAGCCTGGGGAGAGGCTCTTGGGCCTGACGTGGCAGTGCTGGGGAGCCTATAAGTTGCACTCTGTTATAGTCTACAACCTAAATGTCTCCCAAAGGCTTCCATACTGAAGGCTTGATAGGTGGGAAGAAGTTAGGTCACTGGGGTTAGGTATGCCTTTGAAGGGCACAGTGGGACTCCAGCCCCTTCTAATCTCTCTCTTCCATGCTGCTGTGTGATTAGCATTATTGCTCTACTCAAGGTCCCCTTGTGATATGCTGCCTAATCACAAGCCCAAAAGCAACAGGGTCAACCAACCATGGACTGACTTTTCTAAAACCATGAGTCAAAATAGATCTTTCCCCATTTAAAATTAATTTTCTCAGGTATTTTGTTACAGTGATGGAAGTCTGACAACACTCTCACCAAAGGTAGGGACCGACTAAAGTTCACCTTGTAGCGGGGTGCCAGCTTCATCAGTTCTCTCAGTGTCACATCAGAGCCCACCACACCCAGGAGAATGCCATGGGATCGCTGGAAGAGAACAACATGGGCAAGGGAGGGTAGGTTTCCCTGTGCACCAGGCCAGACTGGACTCTAGGTCTTTTTAGAGCCTGGATGAGGAAGCCATTTATGCCTCAGGTGGACCTTCCTTGCAGTTAGATTTTTAGCTCTCTAAATGAAAATTTAGAACCTGCCAGTAACTCCCTGGGAGCCCTCTTAACTGCTCAGAAGATTAATGCCCTGTATTAATATTTCAGTGGTAATATTTAAATAAAATACAAAGTTGAATGGAATATTAATCTTCACATCAGAAGCTGAAGTACTGGGATCTGAGGGACTCAGCAGGGCATGGGGCCAATAAAGCATTTTCTGAGCAGGGGGAGGATGAAAGGCTCTAGAAATTCTCTCACCAAAGGCTTTTACAACCAAGTTAGAGTCTGCCCAACCTGGTAGGTGAAGTGTGGTTTTGCTGGAAGGCTGGCAGATGCCTCCTCCAGCCTCATATTCCGAAAGTAGTGGACCAAGGGCAGAGTGGCAGAACTGACCACCAGTCGGCTGAGCAGAATCACTAAAGAGGGGCTGCTTTGGGAAATTGTAGAGCCCCAGTCTCACCACTGGCCAAAGATTGCAATATAGCCAGTCTGCAACAAGGTGTGGGAGTCTACATTGCAACCCTCCCAGGGTGGCTTTGATGCTCACCCGAGTGAGAAGCCATCGGCCTATAAAGGTGTTCTGGTCCCCGCTGCCACGTCTCAGGGAGTGGCCACTCACCGTTTCATTCTTTTTGCTGAAGACAGGCATGGCCACGGTGGTAAGGAGTGTCAGGCTTTGTGTCTTTGAGGTAAAGAGCTGCCAGAGAGGAAAGGGCAGAGGTTGGGGGGAGGCTAAGGTCCCGTTGGTATGCCTTGCTCAGAGCACAGTATGGAGGACCATGGTCATTGATTCAACTACTCAGCATCACCTTCCACAGGCAGGAAGAAATCTCAGATGAGGCTTCCCTTCTCTGCAAAAGGGAGTGGGCAGGAATGCTGGGGGAGAGATGATTGAGCAGGAGCCCCAGGCTCATGTCACTGGGCAAAGTCCTGAGCCCACACCCAGCTCACGAGCACCCTCCCCAAGCTCTTTCCCCTTGGCCAGGCACGGATGAGCCTGAACTGGGGGAAATGGGCCATTCTGTGCCTTCCCAGAAGTAAAGAGGCTTAGCAAGGCATGAGCATTTGCACAAACCTCTGATAAGGTTACTATAAACCATAACCAAGGGCAGGTAATTACAAGGACGCTGCTCCAGAGCCACCCTCCAGCATAAGCATAAGTGTGAGGACCACGGTGTGAAGCAGGGTGTGGTGCAGCTGTCATCTGCCTCAGGTCACCTCTAATGCACCCAGGAGGGACCCACAGCTCCCTCCACTCAGAACTCAGAGCCAGAATCATGCTCCGCCCCAGGGATGGCTCCCTTTCCCGCCACCTCGTGTCACTGTGCCAGTTCCCTTAGCAGCCTGCACAGGGGCTCCACATGTGTGTCCTGCTTTGAAACAAAGATGGCAAGTGTGAAAATGCCTATGTAGATATGCTGGGCAAGCCTGATCTTTGTTCAGAGCAGCTCAAGGAGGCTGCTGAGTCATGGATGTCTCCACGACATTTTTTGGGAAAGGAAGAATTTTGGCCATCAGTCTTCCTCCTGTACCTCACAGGACTTTTCATTGTTGAGCTGGGAAGTAAGGCTTTTTTTTTGGTACCTAGAATCGAACTCAGGACCTTGCACTTTCCAGGCAGGTGCCTGTGCCACTGAGCTACGTCCTTCGTCCCAGTAAGGCTTCCTGAAAGTGGACCACACTGACATCCAGTTGTGTTCTGTGCTCAGACACACCTCTGTGGGGGACATGAAGGCTCTCAAATTTCCTTGAGTTGTGGATTTGTGGAGGTGTCCCTGGGGAAGCAGCTGCTGGGCCCCGCTTCTCTTAGGAACCATTCTATACTGGAGTGAGGCACTGGTGTGGGGTGGGGACATCTGTCCCCCAAGTGGACTAAAAACCTCAGCTCAAAGGTTCCTGAACTGGGTCCAGGAGATCCTGATCTCAGGGACTCCAAAGTCACAGAGAAAGAGAGGGAAGGAGAAATAGAGGAGGTATAGGATTAGGGGGATTTTAAGTGAGGGGACAGGTGTCAATTTTTTAAAGTGAAGAAGAAGCTGTAACTTCATTTATGTGCTTAGAGGAACCAGAGACTGTGAAATATCAAAAGGTTGTCCATGAAGGTTGTCCACCTGAGGACAACCTGACACAACTTGTCTAGAATAGGAAATTGTGTGTGTGTGTGTGTGTGTGTGTGTGTGTGTGTGTGGTGCTAGGGATGGAATTCAGAGTCTTGCGCATGCTGGCAAGTGCTGTATCACTGAGCTATATCCCCAACCCTTTCTATTTTATTTTGTTATTTTTTATTTTTTTGGTACAGGAAATCGAACTCAGGATCTTGCACTCGCCAGGCAGGTGCTTGTGCCACTGAGCTATATTCCCGGCCCATAGTTTGTTTTGAGACAAGCTCTTGCTAAGCTGTCCAAGCTGGCTTTAAACTTGAACTCCTCCTGCCTCAGCTCTCCAAGCAGCTGAGGTTACAGATGTGCACTACCACGCCCGATACAAAGTCACTTTTATGGAAAGTGTTACAGGAAAACAATGTGTTGTCTCTACCAGCATTCATCTCCTTTTCCTGTTCCTTCTGCCAAACACACCCAAGCACTACACTGTTTTTCAGAATACAAGGTTCTGTCACTGGATTTGGGGGTTCTCAAAGGCTTCCTCTGCCAGCTCCCTTAGCACAACATGCTCCGCAGGAGGAAGGCGCACACTGGGCATGCTGGGAGATGGTCCCTCCCCAGACTGGCAGCTGCCATGAGGCTGGCCGCATGCAGAACAGGGATGGAGCAAGGACCAAAGAGGGTAGCACATGGGGCACCATGTGAGGGGAGACAAGGCCAAGGCACATCCCCACTCCACCCCACCATCTCTCTCCTCCGCTTTGGACATACAGGGCCCCATGAACAGCAAGAACCTGGAAGGAAGGCAAAGCCTGCCCAAGCGAACCGTGCTCTTCCCTTCTGAGCATCAGCCTTAGGGACAGTAGTAGGTGATAGACTCATGACATGTCCAGGGCATGACTTAGTAGCCGAGGTCCCTTTAAAGTCAATTAATGTGGTTTTAAATCTCAAATTTGGCAAATGGCTTGTGTGTGCTATTAAAAGATAAGAGTGTCACTGCCCTTAGATATAGAAGTCAGAAGAGAAGCTGAAAAAGTGAGTTCTCAGCCTCCTTTGCCCCTTGGAGTCAAGCTGAGAGTGTGTCCTGGTCAAAGACAGGTAGATTCATGTTAGGAAGGCTGTGCCTGGTGAAGGGGCGGAGCACAGCCCCCTTTCTACCCTCCCGACACCTAGAATGTTTTCTCAGCTGGCTAGAGCTCCCCCAGCCACCCTGACCAGGGGGATGAGAGCTGCAGCTTAGGCACTGTGAAGGTGACACTAGAAGAAGCCTGGGTCCTTGGTGATTGGTGAGCTCCTCATTGGCTCCAAGATACTCACCTCTAAATCTCTTTTGTGGGAGAAAGAACTATACGTCCATCTTACTTAAGCCAGCATTTTCTGACCTCCATTCCTATCAGTCTGGTGCATTACCACTGAAGCAGATGGCCCCGTAATGATATGATTGGAGAAGTGACCGGAAGGTTCCCCCTCCTCCAAACGTCTCATCTGACTTCTACCTTTGCTATCTATTCCTTTGTGTAGGACTTCTGTGTGTATGTCTGTGAAATGTGGGGGCCTGCGTGGGGTGTGTGGATGGGGGCGGGGTGTGCCATGATGGTAAGCGGTTGATGACAGCTTTCTTCCCAGAATAAGAGGAAGAGAAGGACAGTGAGAGAGGTGGCTGTGGGGGAGGAGGGAGGGATGAGCGCATTTGAGCAGGGGGCGCTGTCCATGGTGGGAAGATATGTGGGGGCCAGTGGTCTGGATCTCTGGGGATAGCACACTGCCAATGACCCTGTTAGTGGGCTGAGAGCTGCTGAGAGAAGGAGGGGATGTGTCCTCCCTTCATGGTTTTTCCTGAGGAAGGATGATGCTCACCTTCTCTGACCCAGAAAGCTATCTCCCGCCTCCAGAGCCACCCTCAGGCCCACCTTGCTGTCCATGTAGGCTTCTGTCCAGATGATGTCGTGGTCATGGTTGATGACCATGGGCCGGCTGAGCACGTGCAGGTATTCCATCACGTTCTCCTGGGCGTCAGCCAGCGTGGAGATCTGTGTGTAGTAGCCTGGAGGACGCCGTAGGGTTGGGCTGCAGAGCGGACCTCCACTCCGAGTCCCCAGGCAGCCCTGCACTCTCCGCAGCTACGGCCAGCTCACACCCCTCTGGGATTGGCAGGCCACAGGAACCTGCCTCCTTGGGCTTATGTCTCATCCCCAGGGTGGCTGGAGGCCTGCGGGAGAGGGCCTCAGTATGGGAGGCCTCTGAGGGGCCCTCCTCGCTCCAGAGCTCCCCGGAAGAGCAGCGGTCACAGCAGCACTCCTCAGTAAGCTTTCTACATGTCACTGTCCTAGGTCCTGCTTTTAGTGCAGATCTTTCAGAGCAGCGGTTCCCGTCCTCCTCTGAGCCCAACCTTCTCCTTTCCCTGCTTTAGAACAGGTTCACCTCTCAGGCCTCACCTCACAAAACATTCATTCCACATCCCAGTAAAACTGAACAGCAATGCCCAGCAATGCCCCTTGCCTCAGTCCCTGGAAGACAGGGTTGGCACTGCAAATGCGGGGCCACCGTTGCCTCTCACTCTGTCTTCTACACGGTGGTCTGGTACCAGGCTTTATTTGAGGACGGCTCTCCCTGGTGTGAACACTGGGTAGACAGGTGATTTCTGACTTCCACTTCAGGTGGCGTTCTGACTCAGAGGCCCTGAAGGGCTCACGGAGCACCGAGTCAGGCTCTGCGAGCAAGCTACCTGCTATCTCTCCTTTTCCAAATGGGAAAGAGGGCGACTGTTCTCTACAAGGCACTGCTCCTCCCGTACACACCCTGTGCTCGGCACCTGTGTGACCGGGATGCCGTCCCACCTGTGTGCAGCAGGCTGCCCTGCCAGGACCTCACGCACCTTTGTTGTTGCAGGCAATCCACTTCAGGCGCTCAGCAAAAGTCACTTCTCTCCCGATGAGGTAAGTGAAGACCCGGACCTAATCCATGAGATGCAGATTGCCTTCGTATCACAGTAGTGTGGCCTAGCTATTGGGTCAGGCTCACCTCAGTTTCTGAGTTCTCCACTCATACCCACTCCTCCTTTCTTCTTTTGGTGGTAGGGACTGAACCTAGTGCCTTTGCACTGAGCTATATCCCCAGCCCTTTTAAAATTTCTATTTTGAGACAGGGTCTCACTAAGTGGCTAACTTGCCCAGGCTGGGCTTGAACTTGTGTTCCTCCTGCCTCAGCTTCCCAGAGTGCTAGGGATGCAGGTTTGTATCATCATGCTTGGCTTGCGCCCCCTGTTAATCAGGAAAGACCCTGAGGCCTGAGCAGCAATGTGACTTGCCCATGGCCATGGTGACTGTAGAGCAGGTTCAAGGCCAGGCAGCCTGGCAGGTTTCATGTCTCAAAACCATGTGCTGGTCCTTCACCTTGAAGCCCTTCACATCAGTCCTTGGGGCCCAAGGTCACCATAGTTTTGGGACACTCAATGAGGACAGGTATGCACTTATGAAGGCTCTAATGGGAAAGGACTTTGAACTTGAGGCTGTCCCACTGCTGTCCTCTCCATGGCAGTGGGAGAAGTCTACCTCTGGAAGAGGGAGAGACTCCCTCCTCCCTGACCATAACCCCACCAAGACAGTCACCTTGCGGTCTGGCCAGTTATACTTCTCAAACACTGGCTCGTAGTCCTCCACGGCCCCGTCTGTGATCAGCATGATGGCCTGGTTGCAGAGACTTCCTCGCCCAGCCTCTCGGAACTGTGTGAGGCAGAGGAGGGCAGAGGCACGACAGGCCAGGACTTCCCACCTTCTGCCTTGGCCCTTCCTCCTACTCCCGCAGCCCTCCAGGCTTTACAGCTTCGGGTACCTGCTTCAGGATCTGGAAGGCCTCACTCAGGGCTTGGTCCACGACCCCTACGCCTTTGACCACCAGCTCGTCCACCAGCTGTTTAAAATGCTGTCAGGGTAAACGTTAGATGGACTCGTGGGAAGAGCAGCCAGAGACCTCTCATGCCTGGCTAACCGAGGAGGCTGGTTAGAACTAATGCCAGAGGATGCGACTGTGGGACCCCTGCTCACAATGCAGCCAATGCCATGGACCGCACCCCTCCAACAGACGTTTCTCAGACGCCCCGAAGGTAAGTAGAGGGGGTGTGGATGGCACGGTGCAAATCCTTGTGCCCTGCTGGAAGAAAGTGCCGGTACGCTGCCAGCCAGAGGGAGAAGCACAGTCCAGGGATGGAGGTGAGCAGTGACCTCAGCATCTAGCCCTTAACTCTGTGGTGAGCACGTCACAGAAGACTGGGGGTGCCAGGGCTGAAGCTCAAGAGGAAGCTGAACTCCAGCTCTCTGATCACAGGCAGACATGCAAATTCTCTTAACAATCGTTGCCCTGTCTTCTTATCTTTGGTTTTCTATCAGAGAAAAAGACTCAGCCCAAGGGATTTGAATTTGTCCTCTACTGAGGAAGCTCCCTGTGAAGACTGACATGGTGGAAAGACCAACTGGGATGCTGTGTGGGAGGCTGAGCCCCAGATCACCTGCAAGAGGCCAGTCTGCAGTCTGAGTGAGGAAGACCCCACAGATGGGTTCCCGGGTGTCTGCAGAGTAACTACTGACTTGCTTTGCTCCTCCAAGCACCATGTGCATAGCAAAAGGAACCGGGAAGCAGGCTGCACAGATGCCATTTCTGTCACGACAAGGGCACTGGGCCGCGGACACTCACCTCTCGGTTGTCTCTGTCCGCCTGGACAAGGATGCCTTTAAAACAGGGCTCGATGTAATGAACGTAGTCATTGTACTGCGGTTAGAGCGAGAGGAGAGAGAGAAGAGACAGATCAGCATGGAAAGTCGGGGCCCGCAGGCCGAGGGCTCAGGCACCTCCTAGCACGCACTGCGGTGCCTGTGCTCTATCAGCTTGGGGTGCACTGTGCATTGTGCGGTTTTTCTGAGCAGACAGAACAGCAGGGGCTTGGTTGCAAAAATCTTTCTTCATCCCCTGGTCCTGGTGCCTGTGCCCTTTTCCCCCAAGATCAGCAGGGAGCCCCCAGTATGAGCCACATAACCTTCCACCCGCAGGCCATCCCAGGCAGGCCTGTGTAAGGGTCAGAAACTGTGCTCTCTCTTTCTATTTCAGACAGTGTCTTATTAATTTTCCTTGGCTGGCAAGACAAACTTGCAGTCTTGCTGCCTCAGCCTCCCAAGTAGCTGTGACTTTAGGCATGTCCTGCCACGCCAGACTAGACACTGCTGCCCTGCGCTCTGCCTTGCCTGTGTGGAGAGATTCTGCAGCTTCCCCCACGAGATGGGAGGAGGGAGAAAAATGAATTATTACTTCCCCCTTCTCTGAATCACCCTGCTTCCCCATGTGTATCTAGAAAACAAATCTTTCAGGTGTCCCTAGCCCATCTTTTGCTTAAAGAAGAGGGGTGAGAAGGGCCATGCTGGTGACCTGATAGAAGAGCTGCACCACAGTCAGCAGTGAGTGCTTCTCTTTGTGGCTGTTGCCCATCAGCTGGGAGGCCAGGCTGGTAGGTGGGAGAGAAGGACTGAGAGGGTGCCGGACAGGAGCGCACTGTCCCTTCTTGTGGGGTGTGGAGCCTTGTTCTACGGCTGTCCTGCTGCAGCTGCAGGTCTGAGGTGGGGGAAGATCTCAGGGGCTGGGAGGCATTCTCACACCTCAGCATGATCATTTTGAAGTTAAATAATTTTGCCTTGGTATTCCACTAGCAACTAAGTAAATTCCACAAAGGGCTGGAAATGTCAACTACGTGGCAGACTGGTGGAAGAGGTCTTTGGATCAGGTGGTTTCTCAATGATACCTGAAGGTGGCTGAACTGGCCCTCCTTCCCTTTTGCTGCTTTCTGAAAGCATCCTCTTAGTGTGTGTCTTTGTTTCTTTCTCTTTGTTCCTTCTTTCTCCCCTTGTGTCTGAATTGGGGTGGGACAAAGGGACCGGGAGTAAGGCCAGGGATCGTTTGTCCCATGGCAGCACGGAGAGGCTGCTTAGCGACCATCTGAGCTGGGAGCACATGGAGGAGGATGAGGCAGAGGGCACTCAGGTCGGTGGTTCTTCACTTGTGTTGGAGGTCAGGCTCCTCCAAGAAGCTGATAAAAGAGATGGACTCAGGAAAATGGACCCGCACCCTTTGTACGTAATTTCAGACCTTTTGAAGCCTGTCCTTAGGCTATGGACCCTCGGTGTAAAGCCCCAGGTTCAGAGGAAAGACTCACCCTCCGGGAGCAGGCATTCACTGGTTATAAGAATAGTTCATCCTGATGCAGACGGAAGAAAGGTTCCCTGGGGAAGCAAGAGCTACTCTGGAGCAGGAAGGCACCCTTACCGCGATGATATTGATGAAGTCATTCTCTCCCAGGGTGTCCAAGATGGTGGTGATGGTATGCTTGGCAATAGCCATCCTCAGCCCCTTCATGCTGCCGCTCATGTCTACCAAAATGACTATGTCCTTGGGAGAAGTGGCAGCTTGGATGTACCTTTAGCAGAAAGAAAAGGACAGACCAAAGGTGGGAAGACCAAAGCCAGAACAACCCCTTGGCCATGCACCTCCAGTTATTTGTATAGTACTCATATTTGGACCCAAGTGCACACAAAATTCAGGTCAGTGCCCCACCTGTGCCAGGTTTTGTCATGTCCCATAAACACTGGGCACTTCTGAAGCCAGTGGGGTGGGAATAATAGGGGCTATGTCCACCTGATGGGCCTGGTCAAGCCTGGGGGTAACCTTTGCTCTTTTGATTTAGACCATCTGGGGCCCCGAGGGGCTAGAAGAAGGAAAGGAGAGAGTTGCCTTCCAGCCTTGGCTTATGCTACAAATCTGTCAGAAGCGTGCTGGGGGAGAGGAGAGCCTGACAGAGGGTTGACGTGGAGGTTGCTCAGTGTCTTGGATGGAGGTGTGGGTTGAGAAAGACAATATGATACATCCAGGAGCAAGTGCAGATGTGGGCGGCGGGTGCAGCTGGCAGCTCATCCTACTCTCCTGTTGGATTAAGGTCTATGCATACAAACCCTGGGGTAGTGGGAGAGAAGAGAGCAGGCAGCGGAGGAAAGCAAGGCAAAACCCAAGCTGTGGGAGGAATGCCAACACCAGAGGCATTTTCGCCATGGGCTCTCACCAGCCGCTGTTCCGGCAGTCGAAGGCAATGACTCCATTCTCATCAGGTGTCCATTTTATTCCTGGGGAATAAAGGGTGATCCTTTCACTCCTCTGAATAAGCTGCCCAGAACCCCTGGATGGATGCTGGCTCCCAGGATAGCCATGACTGCCAGGGCAGAACCTGCTTTGGACTGTTAGACACACCCTGGGAACTTAGGCAATAAGGGAGAACATCTCTATAAAGAGACACCTGCCATCCAAAATGCCCGGGTCAGAGCTGGAGGTCATTTCACAGACATCAAGGACCCCTAGATGTGGTAATGAGACTCAATCAGATCAGCTAGAGGAAGGAGCTGGGCACAATGGTGCACACCTGGAATCCCAGCTCGTTAAGTGTCTGTTACCTGAATGGAAGAATGAATGTGTGTGAAAAATCTGCGTAGATCCACTCTCAGAGTGCGGTGGGTAGGTCTATGGCCAGACCACCCTGAACGTGCCCGATCTCATCTGATCTTGGAAGCTAAGCAGGGTCCGACCCAGTTAGTATTTGGATGGGAGAGTGCAGTGGGTAGATTTCATCCTACTCATCTAATTAAACATTTGGATAAATTCACACAATGCACAGAACACACTAACGTGTTCCACAGTAGAACCTCTGCTTGAAAAGAATTTAATGACTGGGAATAATGGATTCAAGATAATATTTAACAGGGAGGTAGATTCTGTAGAGATGGAAAGGGGATTGGGAGAGGAGGGGAAGGGAGGGCAGGGTGGGGAGGGGGAGCAAAAGGATTAAGATGCAATATGTACAGTATTTGTATCAACCTCCCAAGCTGAATGTAATCACTGTGTATTGCAAGCATGTACAATAAAAAATGGAAGCAATGAACAAGTTCCAAAGACTGGATGGTAATGGATGTGTTATTTAATTTGGTTGTAGTAATTATTAACTAATGTACACATATTTAAAATCATCATATTATATATCTTGAATGTAAAAAATCTTTGTCAATTAGATATTTAAAATTTTTAAAGAGGTAGTATTTAAAATAACAGATAAAATTGCTTGGGCTAGGAAAAAATATTGTAGCCTGTGTCCTAAATAAGTGGAAGCTCTAAGGAAACTTCTGGTTCTACAGCAGGTGCCCTCTTAAGGATTGCTGGTCTCGCAGACATAAGAGGGGCTTCAAGGCATTGTCCTAAACCAAGTTAAAAACAGTTTTCCAAAGGTGAGGATTGGGAACCAGGACAGACAGCACCCATGGCCTTGAAGACAAGGTGGGACCAGAGCCATGAGAAGGGTTGGCATGGTGGGAAACTGAGCAGCAGGTTCTAACCTAGACCTGCAGTCAGCCCAGAGCAGTAGGGTCTCTCTAATATCATATTCATTTGGCAGTATAATCATGGGGAATTTGATCCTTAGAATAGAAATAAAGAAGTCATTAACCTGAATCAAAGTTCCTGCCTGCATCAAAGCCTTAGAGAAGTTCTTTGGTAATTCTGGATGGGGGTACCCTCAAGTCCAAGCAGAAATGGAACAGAGTCTTCTCAAGGATTCCTTGGTCATGCCTATAGAATTCCTATTGATTAGGAAATGTGGCCTCACAAGCAGAGATTACCAAATACTTAAGGAACAGGGCCCTATGAGTGAGGAATAACAGACCAAAAACATCAGATTTATTTTTCTGAGAATTACAGATGTTGGGACAGCCAAATACAAAATATAGGATAGCTGTGTGCAATAAATATGGAATGACTATTGGATATGAAATGTCCCCCCTGAAAAGGCCCATGTGGTTAAGGCTTGCTCCCCAGCCCATGGTGCTACTGGGAGGTGGTAGAACCTGTAGGAGGTGGGGCCTATTGGGAGGAAGTTAAGCTATTGGAGGTATGCCCTTGAATAAGATATTGGAAGCCCAGTCCATCCTGCTTCTCTCTTTGCTTCCTGGCTGCCACAAGGTAAATAGCTCTCTTCCACTGTGCACTCCTACCACAATGCACTGTGCTGCCACAGGCCCAAAGCAACAAGGCCAAGTTACCATGGACTGAAACCTCTGAAATCATGAGCCGAAATGAAACTTTCCTCCATATAAGTTGATTGTCTCAGGTATTTTCTCACAGCATCAGGAAAGTGATTAATAGAGTATGTTTTAAAAATCCCCCCAAAATATTAAGAATGAATAATCAGCCTTGAAATAAGGAACTTTTAAAAAATGGAAGTAATGTTTTGGTTGAAAAATAAATTCTATGGCTAGTGGGTTATTCGTAGGTAAAGAGGAAATTCATATATCTGAAGGATTTACCCAGAATCATGTTGAGGCAAGAATGAGAAGTTCTAACACACATCTGACTGTAAACAGAGAGAAGGGAGAGCATGTTGAGGTAGACAGTGATTACAGAGATAATGTTGGTTCTAGAACTATTATAGAACTGCTAAAAAGCAGATCGTGAGGCCTGGGAACCACAGTACATTTCAAGCAGGATAAGTAAAAAGATATTTGCATGGAGATGCACAGCAGAGAAACTGCAGGACTTCAAAGGCAAATAAACACAGACCTTAAAAGCGGCCAGAAATACCAGACACCTATAAGGGAGCAGCAGTTAAACTAACAGCAGATTTTCTCAACATGGCTGGCAGCCAGAAGACAGTTAAAAATAGTCTTAAGGTATTGAGAGAAAAGAACAATGATTGTAAAATTATATTACCAAAAAAAAAATCATCATTCAAGAGTGAGGACAAAAGAGAGTGTGTAGATAAACATACATATCACCAGGAGCTCCAGAGTGAAAGAGTTTCTTCAGAACATAATGCCAAGAGAAGGAAAATGACCTGAGATGCAGGAAGGTATGGTGAAAAAAAAATGGCAAATAAGTGTTCACTTTTAAATGAGCACAGTGTTTATCTCAGGTAATTTGTGGGCATGAAAAATGTGAACTATTAGGTAATAATAAAATAAAAGTCAGCATGGGGAAGAGATGAAGCACAGAAGTTCTAAAGTCTTTTTTTTAGAGAGAAAACTACTCTTTTGGAAGGAGAATAATATTTAGTTTTAATATTCTCTGTGTTAAATATGTGTGATAAAATTTCAGGGGTAATCCCAAAAGAATAGAAACACGGGAAGATGATTTCTAATATGGCAAAGTGGAGGAGGAGAGAGGAAGGGAAATTTATCAACAAGGCTAATCATTTTAAAAAAGCAAAAAGGGAGGAAAAGCAAACATAAAAGCATAGGAACTGGTAAAATATTTTAAAATAGAATCACAGCACATTCAAATATATCAACATTCACAACAAATGTAAATGTGTTTAATGTGACAACTCGTAAAAAGAATTATAAATTTATATACAAATTTTAAAGCTATAAACTTTCCAAATGTCTGGCTAAAACAAAAACAACATTAAAAAAAGTTGAAGGTTAAGGAATGGAGAAATACATAGCAGGGAAATATTAGCTAAGAGGATGCTGGTGTCACTCTGTGAGAATCGGACAAAAGAGATTTGAAATGAATAGTGCTAATAAGAGCTAGGGGAAAGCAAGTCAAGAACTTAGCAGAGATGGAGAAAATTTAAGCAATGCAACTAACGTGCTTGATCTATTGATGTATGCAGAATTTTCATCCAACAAGGACAGCACACATATTCTCAAGCACACGTGGAATATTTACAAACTGTGATGACATACTAGGCCACTGGAATAAATCTCAGTTAATTTCACATAGAACCACACACGTGTTGTCTGACCATAGTGCAGTTGAGGTAGATATTTAGAGTGAGGAGATAAATATAAAGTTTATATGTGTTTTGAAATCTTAAAACGTACTTTTAAATAACTAACGTATCACTGGGGAAATAAAAAAGAAACTTAAAAATACTATTTAGAAAGAGTAAATGGTAATTAAAACCCTACTATGACAACACAGCTATGGGCAGCAAAGAAAAAACAAACAAATCGGATGTCATCATGAAAAACTTCTGTGCATCAAAGGACACAATCAACAGAGTGAAAAAAGAACCCTGACAGTGAGAACTGAAAAAGAGGTTGATAACCAGAATATATAAAGAATTTACCTAACTCAACAAAAAAAACAAACAAACTGACTTAAAAATGGATCAAGAACTTAAACAGACGTTTCCTAAAGAAGATATACAAATTACCAACAAACACATGAAAGGATGCTCAGCCTCATTAGTCCTTAAGGGAATGGGAATGGGAATCAGGATGAAACACTGCCTCATACCCACTAAAAAGGCTTCTATAAAAGGAAGCAGACAAGGAAACAAAACAAAACAAAGAACCAGCAACAAAGCAAACAAAAAGCAGCCAACACCTGGAAAACAGGAACAAAAGACCCGGAAAATAACAAGCTGGTGGGATGTGGAGAGACTTAAACTTTTGTACATTGTTGGTGGGAATGCAAAATGGTGCTGTTGTGGAAAACCCATGGCAGTTCCTGTAAAAATTATGATGACTACCATGTGATCTAGCAATTCTCCTTTTGAGAATGTGCCCAAAAGAACTGAAATCAGAGTCTCAAAGAGTTACTCACATACCCATGTCCACAACAGCATTATTCGCAATAGCCAAAAGGTGGAAACAGCCCAAATGTACATCGATGGATGAATGACACAAAATGTAGTATATACATACAATGGAATGTTATTCAGCCTTGAAAAGGGAGAAATTCTGACACAGGCTACAACATGGTTGAGTCCTGAGGGCAGTGTATTAAGTTAAGTATGTCAATCACAAAAAGACAAATAATGAAACTCTACCTTTGCAAGGTACTCAGAATCATAGACACGGGAAGTAGAATGACGGTTGCCAAGGGCTGGGAGAGGGGAAAGAGAATTATTGCTGTGACGATGTTTGCACAACAACCAATGCACACTTTTCAAATATTTAAAAAATAGCGAATTTTGTTATATGCATTCCACCACAATTAAAAATAAAAGTTAGAAAAAAACTATTGCTAATCAAAACTTGTGAGATGCAGCAAAAGAGAAGTTTCTAGTGAAATGGAGTAGCCATAATATTTACCTTAGAAACAAATAAAGGCTAGAAATTAAAGTGAAGATATCCATTTAAGAAGTTAGGAGGGAGAGCAACAGGATAAATCCAAAGAAAGACAAAGGAAAATGTAAAAGCATTAGCTCTAAAGTAGATACAATAGAAAACAATAGAGAGCAACCAATAAAGATAAAAGGTGGTTCCTGAAAAGACTTCAGAGAAACCAAGGGGAAATGAAGAGAAAAAAAACATAACACAATATATAAAAAGGGACACAGTTATGGACTGGATTAAAATGATAAGAACAAATACATTTATATAAGTAAATTTGAAAGGTCAAGTGAAATGGATGCACCCTGAATAAAAGTATCCCATTAAATTTTAAGAAGAAATAGAAAGCCACATTAGTCTTGCATGTGTTAAATATATTGAAGCGCTAATTTTATATTCCCATAAAGAAACACTAGACTTGTAAATTTTTATAGGTGACATCTATCAAACTTTCAAGGAAGAGATCCTTCCAATTTTATTAAAATAATTCCAGAAACCAAAAAAAAATACTCCTCAATTTATTTTGGAATAAGATTATTTACTTTGAAAACAGCATAGGAAAGGAAATTATAAGAAAGGAAATTTCCTATATAGATATAAAAATATGAAATGAAATATTAGTAAACCAAATCCAGCCATGCATAAAAAGATTTGCTATATTATTAGACTAGTCATAGAAATGTGAAGATGGGTTGACATTAGAGCACTAAATTGTTTGGTGGGAAGAATACAATATTCATCTCAGTGAAGAGGAAATACATACAGGTAATAACATACAGTGATGCTCAACTCTGTGAGTGACCAGAGAAACGCAATGTCAGGCCACAATGACATTTTATACCAAAAGATCATTAATGAAGAATTTTAAAGTTTAACAAAACAGAGATCAATGGAAACATGTCTCCCATTCATGGACTAGAATATTTCATGTGCCATCAGTAGTACTACACAAAATGATCTCCTAATTTAATCAGTAAATTACTCATGCAACCTCTATCAAAATCTCATTGATATTTCCTGCAGAAATAGAAAAACTCATCCAAAAATTCATATGAAATTTCAAGGGACCCCAAATAACACAAACTATCTTTAAAAATAAGAATGAAGCCAGAAGAGCCACACTTTCTGATTTTAAACTACAGTGCTGCACTAATCAAACAGTGAGGGGCGAGGGGTATAGCACAGCGGTACAGCACCTGCCTGGCAAGTACAAGGTCCTGAGTTTGATTCCAGCACCACCACCAACAAAAAAGATAGTTATCAATCAGTGTGTTCTTGGCATATGGACAGACATACAGAGCAATGAAATAGAATAGAAAGCCTGGAAATAAGCCTTTGCATATATGAATTTTGAATATTCAATGAAGAAATAACAGTATTTTTCAACAAATGGTGCTGAGAAAACTGCATAGCCACATGCAAAAAAAAAAGTTGGATCTTTATCTAACACCATATACAAAAATTAACTCAAAGTGGGTAAAAGGTTTGAGCATAAGGCCTATAGCTCTAAAACTCTTGGTGAGAAATAGAGGAAAATTTTATGACACTGAGCACAGTAATGATTTTTTGGGGGGGATATGACAACAAAGACATAGGCAACAAAAAATACACAAATTGGACTTCATAAAACATTTTAAATTTGTCCACTGAATGATAATGTTTAAAGGAAAAAGCCTATAGGAGAACATATTTGCAAATTATATACATTGGGGGGGGGGTGCTGGGAATCAAATCCAGGGGTGCTATATTACTGAGCTACATCCCTGTTTTAAAAAAATACTCATTTTAAGACAAGGTCTTGCTAAGTTGCCCAGGCAGAACTTGAACTTTCAGTCCTCCTGCCTCAGCGAGTTTGTGATTGATTCATGGTCCAATGCTGGATTTAAGGGTGTGAGTGCTGCACCTGCCATAGGGCAGTTAGCCTGCATACAGTATAAGGAATGGAAAGAGGCTTTTTCTGCCTCTATCTATCTCTCTGTCTCTCTCCTCGCTTTTGCTGACTTCCACTGGCATGAACTGTTGCCCCTCTGCCATGTGCCATCCTGCCTTGGAGCCAGTCGATTATGGACTGAAACCTCTGCAAACTGTGAGCTAAATAAACTTTTCCCCCTTAACTTCTGTGTGTTGGGTATTTTGTCTCAGCAATGAGAATAACTAAGACACACTTGAAAAGATATTCAACAGTACTAATCATTAAGGAAATGTAAATCAAAGCCATAATGAGGTACCATCTCACATACATTAAGATACCATTAATATAAAACAAACAAACAACATAGCAAGTGTTGGCATGGATATGGAGAAACTGGAGTGCTTGTGCACTATTGGTGGTAAAATATAAAATGGTACAGCCTTATACCATTAGGAAACAGTATGGCAGGTCTTCAAAAATTTAAATTAGAATTACCATATGGTACAGCAATTCCACTTCTAGATACATACCCTACATAATTGAAATAAGGTCTCAAAAGATATTTTAACACCTGTGTTCTTAGTATTATTCACAATAGCTGAAAGGTGGAAGCATCTCAGTATGTATAAACAAAATGTAGTATGCACATACAATATTACTCAGGTTTAAAAAGGAAGGGAACTCAGATGTATGAAATGGATGAATCTTCAGGGGATTATGTTAAGTAAATCAATCACAACCCCCCCCCAAAATATGAATGATTTCCTTTCTCTGATGTACACAGTGTAAACAAAATCACAGAGCCGAAAAATAGAATGCCAGTGACTGGGCTGGGGAAGGAAGAAAAGGGAATTATTCTGGTGGATGTAGAGTTTCAGTTTTACAAGAGTTTTGGAAATAGATGGTGGGGATGACTGTACTTAATATGTCCAAAAGACATCATTTAAACCGATTAAGCTAGTGCATTTTGTCAAAAACTTTTAAAAATGCATGTGTCTAGAAATGTAAAATAAAACTAAACAAACAAGTGAAAAAAATCCAAATATAGTCATACAGTTGAAGTTTAGTAGGGCTGCTACCTGGCCAGTGGGGAGGGAAGGGCAAAGGGCAGGACAAAAGGAACATGGGGAGATATAAATTATTGGCCATATTCTAGGTCTTACAATAAATTAAATTAAATGAATATAGATGAGATAACAAAAAAATTATGCTCAATCTATTTTTGTATACTTGAGGGTAGATATGGATGTATAAATTGGGACGGGTTATGAGAAATGGCTCCTCTCTTCAAACCCTGGTGAGCTCACACCTGAACTGTGTTATTTGAGACTGGTTTGGCATCTCAGGGTGTGTGACAAGGTTACTTACAGGAATTTTACCCTGGGGAAGACAAGAGGGATGTGAATGGTCTTCAAGCATTTGAAGGGCTGCTACACAGAAGAGAGATAAACTTATTCCTTCAGACTACAGAGAACAGAAATAGAACCAGTGACTAATTGTGAATTTTGGAGCATGTTAATGATAGCAACAGTATGAGTTCTTTGCGCTCCAAGGGAGGGATTGCCTTTTCCAGTCTTTGGTCAAACAGAAGTCCTTCAAGGACTTTCCATTTTCTGGTCAGACAAGTGGGGGCAAATTTAAGACTTTCTGGACAGTCTACTAAAATATAAAAATGAAAGTGAATTTATTCTAAATGAGAAGTAAAAAAGATGTGCAATTCATGCAAAATTTGTTGTTGATGTTCTATTTTTACATTTTTTCAGAATGGCATATGTATACAGCACAACTGAATCTTTTTTAGGGGGTGGGTACCAGGAATTGAACTCACTACCTCAAGCTTTCCAGGCAGGTGCTGTGCCACTGAGTTATATTCCTGGCCCTGATGTTCTATTTTTAAAGTTTTCCCCACTCTATTACTGGGTTTGCCACTAATCACATAATAACTTGTAGCATTTCCTACATGGCCGTTGATTATTTCTAGTGTCTATGGCTCATTTTTCCAATTAGGATGTAAACTCCTTGAGATAAAGGATTGTCTTACAGTCTTTGCATTTTCCACAGTGCTTTTCATAGGCTAGGCGCTCAGTGTGGGTATTTGATGGTCGATTACCAAGACTGCTTGTTGGTTTCATTCGTTCATTCACTCAACAGTTCTTTACTGAATGTGTGCTTGCGTATGAGAAGGGTAAAAGTACAGATTGGAAGTGCCTTTGGGTAGAAGGGTTAGTCATTCTCTGGAGACTGAGTGCTAGGGCCCATCTCCAATACCCCTGTCCCTTATTTCCAGAGAACAAGCCTGGTGGGTCATGGAGATAGCACCCAATATGCTCACCTGGATAGATCCTGAAGAATCCAGTTGAGCTGCCAAAATATTGCCAGGTCAGTGTAGGGTCCCTCTGAAAGTTCTCCACAAAAACAGGGTTCAAGGCCTCAGACATGTAGACTCCATTTAAAATATCTGGATCTGAGGGGTGAAATGATAAAAGGAATTTTAGGGGAAACAAGCAGGAAGCAACAGTGATGAAGTGTTCACATGCTAAACACACACACATGCACACACACACACACACACACACACACACACATGCTGCAATGATACAGTTTAGAGCTTCTTTCTGCATCTCACATGAAAAGTCACACTCACACCCTGTAATCCAGAAGCACTGAGTCTTCTCTCAGCCTATGTACTGTGGTTCAAGTGTGTCCCTCAAGGATTTGTGTGTTGGGAGCTTGGTTCCTTCTCAGTGTGGCAATGTGAGAAGTGCTAGAGCCTATTTCTTATGAGATCCTAGTTAGTTCTGAGAGAGTTGCTATATAAAAGCACACCTGGCTACTCACACTCTCAGGCTTCCCATCTTGCCTTGGGAGCTTACCATGCTGTCATCCACCATGTTGTGATGTAAGCAGGGGGCCCTCCCCAGAGCCAGTGTTATGCTGTTTGGAATTTCAGACTCTCAAATGGTGACCTAAACCCTTTTGCCTTATAAGTTACTCAGCCTCAGGTATTTTATCAGAGCAATGAAAAACAGACTAGCACACCATGATGATGTGGAATAATTTCTTTTCTCATCCTCTGTTGAGGAGGCTGGAGAGACAGTGTATGGCCCTGCTTCTCAGGGAAATGGAGACAAAGTCATGAAAAACCTCCATTGTCACCACCCCACCAACAACTTCCAAATAGAGAGGAATCACCTTTGTTGTACACGTTGGTGGGCAGTTGCACGCTGCTGACTGAAGTGTTTACTCTCAGGTTGCTGAAGTGTGCGTTGGACTCCAGGATGAACTCAGCACCCAGCTCCACAAAATTGCCTTTCTCATCTTTCTCATTAATCAGGACTGAGTTATAGTAGTCAAACTGGATGGCAGGCAACAAACCCAACAGAGATAGACACACAGGGATGTGTAGAGTGAGAGAAAGAAATGGTTCACATGAGAGGTCACTGATGTGAAAGGTGGGATAGGATAGACAGTGGTGGGATAGGATAGACATGCTTCACTGGGTGGAGAATCCAGGCAAATTTGGGCTGATTCAGGGACAACAGGTCTCCGGATAATTGGAGTGAAGGGCTCATTAGGTTGGTTTTGGATGTAAGTTGCCCTGATTATTGCTTTGGTTCTCCACTTGATTTAGTGTGTGTGGACACAGCCAGAGCTGGAGATAGAGATGAGAAGATACTCAAGGAGAGGTGAGAAGACACAGAGCCTCATCAGCACTGTCACTTTCTGCCAGGGTAGGAAGAGTCTTGGAGACCCAGACAGTGCCCAGGAGTCCTTGGGCCTCCACCCTGGGCCTGAGGCTGCAGTTCCTGCACCCCACTCCCAAGATCAGGTGTCCTCTCTGTGCCTTTTAGGAGCAGTGGTGGAGGATCTGCTTGATAACTACCTTTGGAGTCATAAGCAGACGCCCTTCCCATTCCTCCATGCTACAGGGCCCACCTGTGTCACTGTAACACACCACGCCAGCTCCATGTCACAGCCCTGTGGCCAGCATTAGCTTTCTAAAGCACATGCCTAGCTGTGTCTCCCCCTGCTCTGATCCTCCCCTACTTATCATTCCTTAAGCAGAAAGATCAGATTCTGGTTTTGGCATTGAAGGCTCGCACCCTATTTCCCAACACCTCTCCAAGGCCACCGTCTGCTTCATCATTCTCCGTCCACACAGAGCTGACCACCCACTCCACTCTATCTTCTGATCCTATGCAAAATTCTGCCAAGTCATCATGGCGGCTGACTACAAGATGGCGGGGCGTGGGGGATGGCGAAGAAGGAGGAGAACTGGAGGAGGCAGAGGGTGAGGAAAGAGTAGGGGATGGTATAGGGACATCAGGCTGAGGAGACTGAGCAGGTTGGGCCTGTGGATATGGCGGCGGAGGAGGGAAAGCACGAGGAACATTCTCAAGAGAGGGTCAGGAGGGGAACCTGGTAGAGCGTCTGACGATGTGGAACGATGAGCCACTTTTGTTCTTTTTCTTATTTGCGCCAAAAGGAAAACCTTACATCTTCAACCAGCCTTGCGTTTTCTTACTTCTGTTTCTTCTCCTCTCCCTAATTCTAGGGACCCTTCGCCAGGCCTTGTCTGCCCAGATCCCAGCAGCCTGAGGCCCAGCCCCCCGGCCACCCTGTGTGCAAGGGGTTCTGCGCCCCTCCCCTTCTGCAGTCCGCATTCCCAAGCGTGTGCACCTCCACGGGAGTTACTTTGCCTGTGAGCTTCTTGAGGTCAAGAGTCTGTCTCACTCCTGAGGCCAGCAAATGGCTTTGCCCATGAGGGTGGGAGGTGAACATCCATGCATATGGAATGAGTTGATTACAGCTCTGTGCCCCACTGGCTACGGTTGGTCACCCCGGGCAGGTGCTGGGGTGTACTCATCAAACCCTCCCTGCACCAGTTCTGGGAGAGCACTCACCACCAGGGATGCGTTGAATTCATGGTTCAGGTCAGCCTCCTCAGCAGCCTCCACCAGACTCTGAGAGAAGGGAATGCAAAGGAGAGAAAGAAGAAAGGGGGAAAGGGGCCGCCCCTCTGAGGTAAGTTGAGCATCATCATCACGTGACCCAGCAACTCCTCTCCTATCCTCTACGTACTCAGAGCGCAGTTCCTTCCCTCTCCCACTCCCGGCTGTGAAGACCCATCCTTTATCATCCACAAGGACTCCAAGGGCCTCATGGGAAGCAAAGGTGCTTACGCAGATGCTGCGGTGACTGTCACTAGACCTCCACCACCCTGGCAGGGCATGTTAGAAAGTGTGTATTCCCTTCCTAGTAGGAAGCACCTACTCTGGGTGCTGGTAGGGACTTGGCTGATATAAACCAGTAGTAGACACAGTCCCCCACTCCTCCTAGCCAGGAACTGGACCACACAAACCCGGTGTGGTTCTTGAAAGGGCACTTCAGACCAGTCACACCCTCCAAGGAGCTGAGACAGGAGGTGGGGTGGGGGGCTGGCAAACCTTGACAGCCTCCACTTTCCTCCGCAGCATGTTCTCCATGTCCTCTGAGAACTTCCTCACCAGCTCTAGGCCGTCCACCTCCTTGATCTTCAGACTGGGCTCCACATCCTTGTACTTCTGTTCAGGGGGATGTAGGAGGGACAGGCACTCGTCGTCTTGTCGGGATGCTGGCACCTGACTCCACATGGATGGAACCAGGCACATATACAGAGCCTTGTTTTCTCTCCTGGGGTCAAGGACAGGCCCTCTGCTCTTCCTGTAACCTCCTCAGTAATAATAATCGCTGCCTCTTTGGGATTGCCCTGTTTTAGGGGCTCTAGGCACATTGCAGTTAATATCTTTACTGGATAGTAGATCAACACTTGAAACCAACAAACTTGACCAAAGCCAACAACCAGTGAGCAAAACAGCCTGAATGGGGCCAGGGCTCCCCAGGTGCCATGCCTGCACTCTTCAGAGTCCTGCTGCTCCTCTGGCGCCTGCTCATGTCAACCGTGAGCCCACCTGAAGCATCTGTTCCCCATCTGCAGTACACCAGAAAATGCATGGTGCTTTCAAGGCACCTGCACATTGCCAGGGAGCCCAGGAGAGGCTGGAGAGCCGCTTCTAGTTCATTCCTCACTGAGTGTGTGAATCACGAATGTCTGTTGACCCAGCTCTGCAACCTAATGGCAGTGTGACCTCAGCCCAGGCACTCCGTTTCTTCATGTGTACTATGTGATGTTTCCAATAGCTTTAGGGAATGTTCTAGAATGTATTGACTACAGATTGCTGTTATTCAACATGGCCGTATCATACTGCCTCAAGTGTTTCTCACTTGGGGTTGGAGGATGCAAAGGAGAAAATCAAACGAGCTGGTGGTTGTAGGGGTGTGCTGTGAGTGCAAGCTGAGTCTCAGCTCTTAGGGTGGCAGTGGCTGTGGACAGGGTGAACTCCGCTCACCCAGAGGAGGACCTGGGGCTGTGGGGAGGGGAGCGAGGGAAGGCTGCAGTGTGGTCACATGCAGGTGGAAAAGCTGAGATTTGAAATCATTTATAAGATGGAGGAGATGCCTCATGGATTGCGGTGAGAATTAATCATGGATATAAAGCTCTTGGCAAGTGGCAATAATAGAGAAGGGCGAGCTATTATTAAACTGCTCTGGGAGTTATATCTACCAGAGACAAATGAAGCTGTGTGTTGTCTGATACAAGGACAGGCCCGCCATAAATCTGCATGGAAAGTACTCAATAAACAGAGGGGAGGAGCTGCTGGAGCACCATCCCCTCCCTGCTTCTTGCTGGGAGCCCAGGCCTGGGTTCAGGCCTTTGCTGGGTATTCCTGGAGGACCTGGGGCCAGAGGTGAGCACAGCTGTCCCCACACAGACGGCCACCTGCTGACCACTCCTCTCTTCTCCCAGGGTGTTGCACTGCCCCTTGAGGTTCTGCTGGCCCTTCCTGGATGTGCCTTCCTCATAGGACTCAGGCCTGGATCTCAGCCTTTCTGCTCCCTCCCCTCCCGTCTTTTCTTCACATTCCCCAGTGTTAGGTAGGTCTAATGCCATCTTGGCCTCCTGAGGGCCTAAACCAACCAGACTCTCGACTTTGTCACCATGCTAGTCTTACTGACTGAGCTAAAAACATCATTCACCCCTCTGATCTCAGTTTCCCCAGCTGAAAATGAGTAGATCAGATAAGATGGGCTCAAAGCCCTCACTCTAATTTTCTACCAGAAAGGAGACCTGGGGTGACCGCTGGGAGCAGGGACACTGACCTTCTGCAGCAGGAGGGAGCCCGAGTATTTGGTGATGGTGTTGTACAAGTCCCTGCCAAAGGTGTCCGCCCATAGCTTCACTCTGCCGGGGAGGAAAGCACACTTGTGAACATATACGGACAGAGGTGGGGACACATGCAGAGGCCACACACAGACGCACAAGAAAAGCGGGTCTACACCCAGACACCCACTGTGCCACACACACGAACACGCAGAGATGCACATGGAATATGTACAGAGATGCACACATGGACAGGGCACCCATACACACATGCGCACATCCACAGTCATAAATACCCAGAAACACACAGAATACCCCTGTCCCTTCTGTTCTGGCTGTAGGCTGGCCAGGCAGCGGTCAGAGAGCCTGCCAGGGCCTCAGCCACGTGGTGGTTTAGCGAGCCCAGGGCTGGGTCTCCTGCTGAGGGTCACAGGGCTGACAGGGAACCAGGCCCGGACCCCAAGCTTCCAAGGACTCTGGCCTTTGAGTGGAGCAAGGAGTGGAAGAGATGGTGGGTAGACCAGGCAGGGAGGAAGACCACAGGGGGGAACAGAAATTCTCCAGGAACAGCTGCAAGTCTCCACGGGCTGTGCACCCTGTTGCCCTCCTCAAGGTCACCAGGGACCCCTGGCCTTCTGCGGAACCCCAGGGACAGCATACAAAGGGGCAGCAGGAGAGCTCCGAGTGGCCTGTGCAGAAGCTGAGAGCAGGGCTGGCTGGGAGGGCAGGGGAGCCTTCACCTCAGCCTTGGTGTGGGCCGCCCAGTGAGGACCCAGGACTTCTCACCCAGCTCCCGGAAGTGCACTGCGATTCCCCTATCACTGGTGCGCACAGTATCGAGGATGTCCTGGGGTCCTGGGTTGGGTGCACAGGACACTGCCTGAGGCTCCCCAGATGGGGCAACGGTAATGTGCCTGCATGACCATTTCTAGATCGGCATTCACTGTTGCTCAGTCAGTATTTACTGAGGTGTTATCGTGTGCCCGGCACTGCACAGCCTGGGGCCGCCCCACAGTGCAGCAGGATGCGTGTTTGAAGGGGGCTGGTGAAGCCTGCGGAGTGTGAGGGAAGGCTTCAGCAGGTGGCGGGGTCTGAGTTCCACGTCAAAGTGAGGTAGAAGTTAGCCCTGCAAAGAGATCAGGAAGGGAATTCTGGGTGGGGAGTACAGAAGGGCTCAGAGGAGTCAAAAATGACTTCCAGTTTCCAGCTTGGTGATATTCTCAAAGCAAATTAAAAGTAAAGAGTATCAGGAAGAGCAGGTTGGGGAGAGTGGAAGGCGCTGAGCATAGCTTGGTTGATGTTGAATGTGAGGCTCCTATTACAGAGCTGCTGAGTTCCGCTGGGTAGAGTGTGCACTGCATAACTCTAGATGACATCAAATCATGTTGTAGTTTGAAAGACACAAACCTGAATTTAAAACACCCCATGACATTCAGGAAGAGGTGTCTCCAGGCATTGGGTATGGGAGTCTGACAGGTTCAGACAGCGCTGCGAGTCATTAGTACATGGGAAAGGGTCAGAGGGGTGCTCTCAAGGCGAATGAGCAGCGTGAGTAGATCTGTCAGTGTGGACAAACACTTGGGGTACCAACAGTTTCAGGGCTGTGCAGATGGAAAGGAATACTTAAAAAAGACAGAGAATCCAGAAGGGCACAGGAAACAGGGAAAGCTCAGGGTTACAGAAGATTCAGGCACTGCAAAGCAAAAGGTGCAGGGGAAGAGACAGGAATGTCTACTGCATCGGGTGATGGGAGGTCTTAGAGGACCTTGGCGAGAACAGATTTGGGAGGGCAGGTGGTATAGGCTGGGGCTACTGGGAGGTGGCACAGGAGATGCAGAAAGGTCTGAGGGGTAGGGGTGGGGACTGAGCGGAAGGATCCAGTAGGAGAGAGAGCGTGAAGGCTGGGAGGGAGGAACTCTGGGGTCAGGACCTGGGAGAAGTCAGGATCTCAAGGAGAGAAGGCATCACCGTCTCAGTCTGCTCTGAGGTTGCTGTGAGGATGGCAGCTCTGAGTTCTCCTGCAGAGGGATCTGGATTCCAGCCATCTGTCCCTGGCCCCCAGCCATTTCTGGAGTTCCCTGTCTCCTATCAGCGGCACAGTACCCGTGCTCCGGGCTGCAGACCCTTCTGAGCATCTCCGTGGCACCGTGTGCTTTCACAGGCCAACAGCAGGTGTCCCGGCAAGGCAAGACAGGCTGGCCTGCTCAGGTTCTGCCACTTTCATGAACTGGCCTTGTGATTTGCAGGAGTCATCTAACTTCCCTGAGCCAATTGCATAACAGAAATAATGTCAGCCATCTCACTACGTTGTGGGGACTAAGGCACCAGGCACCATGCCAGGCAGAGATCAAAAGCCACACTGCCCTATCCACTGCTCCCCAAAGCCAAACACTGCGTTCTTTGGGCTCCCTCACCCACATCTGCTAAGACATGGAGCTGCCAGCTGGCTCTGCTGTAGCCTGGATGTCGTGCTGGGCTTGAGAGGCTGCTCATAACTATGGACTGAGCAGGTGGCACCTTAGATCTAGAATGTGCTGTTCCTCACATGGATTAGAAGTTTCTTTAACAGTACCTCCAGGTTCTAAGACTGAAAAAATCCCAGAGAGGTTGCACAGGAGTTTATAGCAAGGTGTATATGATTGACACTGCATGCTTTCCTGGAGCTGGTCTCAACGGTGGGGTATAAAATTAAGGCCCAGAGGAGGCAAAAATGTATAGAAAAGAAGAATGAGGCCACCACAATCCAATTTTACCTAGTCCCTGGACAACTACCTCCCCTTTGCCTGCATCATTCCATTGGTTTAGAGCTGCTTTACCCTTTCAGAATGTGAAAATACAAATTTCCTAGCAAATCCTGTGGGGAGCCGTGATGATCAACTTCAGAACTAAAGTCGCCCTCTCCAAGCAGCCTCATCACAGGGAATGTCCTGGAGAGACCATCCACCCAGCAGGTGCTGGACAAGCGGATTGTCACCAGCAAGGGAAGTGAGCCCTAAAGATCAACCTGCTTGAAGCCATCATGCTCCAAGGAGGGGGCAGGCAGGACTCCAATCCAAGAAGAGACTATGGGAAGAGAGAAGGCCAAGGTAGAAAAAATGTTTACAACAAGGCAGTGGACACTTGTAGCTGCCAGGGAAGAGCCCAGAGGGACAGAACAGAGGGTGGAGACCTGCCGGGGGGAAGCAGGGAGAAGGCATAGAAGGATTTCATGGGAGGAAGGGAAGGGGTTGGGCTTGATGCTTACGTTTCCAGAGGAATCTTGGTCTGACCCCATGTGGGAGACAGGAAGGTGCTGGAGAGCAGCAACCACAGGATGACCGCAGTCTTCTGCAGGCAGGCCCTGGCCCATGGCCACTGGTGGCAGGGGACTCCAGTGCTGGTGGAGCCAGAGTTTGGGAGGAGCCCAGGCATGATGCACCCGCTGGGCTCAGGGAAGAGGAGGGAGTAGCCCCAGTTCATGAGCTGTCTCGCCTGCCACCTATGTCCCAGGGCTGTCCACAGCCTTCTGCCCGTGGGGTCCCAGGAATCCCAGGGTCTCCAGCCTCTCAGTAGGGTCCCGCAGCAGCACCTAGCCAGGAGCTGCCCCCAACAGAGGCCTCTGGGTGTGGGGTTGGCCGCCCCAGTGGAAGAGGCTGGGACAAAATGAGCCCCTCTAATCCATCAGCTTCTCCGCTAATCCCTGTCTGACAGCAAAGGAGGGGCTGCCAGGAGGTGCGGGTGACCTCAGTGGGATTACCCTGATTCCAGCTCTCGCAAGCTGCCAAGCACACCCTTCTGCTTTAAAGAGCCAGACCCGTGCCCACATAACAGCCCTGGGCTCTAGGGGAAAGGGCTACTGCTACCCGGGCCAGAGGACAACAGCAGCTGAGTTTGTACAGTGCTCTAACTGATGCAGACCATATAAAGCCCTATCTTTAACTTAGAGCAGCCCTGGGAAGACAGTGGCATCGGCCTTGATTTGCAGGGTTCTCAAGGCTTGGGGGTGCCTCAGGGTTCCAGGCCTGGGGGCTTTGGGCCACAGACAAACCAAAAGTCACTTGATGATACTTCAAGGCATGGATACCTTCCTCTCTCCCCAGATTCCTAGGCCAAATATTGCTGTAAAAGTTCCCAAAGTCAGGTAGTTGAGCCACAGCGGGATAAGGGTTCTGTCTTTTTGCATCTCAGCTTATCCTCTGGCTGACTCTCTTTGTGGTACAAATGTTGGAGTGGCTGTGAGCATTTGGGGGATGCGGCTCAGAGGAGGTTGAGTTGGGGAAACTTCACTGGGGCTTGGTAGGATATAATTTAGGTTGCTCACAGTCACTTTCTCCTATAGCCAAGTCATGTTTGGCCATCTTAGGGTGGGAAGAGCATTCGGGAGCACACATCACCCACAGGACGTCATGATAGGCAGGGGGGTCAGGAAGGATGTTTCCTAATGTGGCTATGGCCTGGAGCACTCACCACTGGCAGCAGGTGGTAGAGCAGAGGAAATAAGGTCCCCAGTGTGCTGAGACAGGAGGTATAGTTGGTAGGGAATCCTTTCCTAAGTTGGTAGGGATTCCCTTCCAATCGTCAGCAGAGGATTTGCTTCTCGTGAAGGCCTGGCCAAGAGAGGGGTTAGCTCTCTTATTAGGGAAATAGTTAATATTAAATGTATGTAATGATAAACCTGCTATACATCACTCTCTTTCTGATGGGAATTATGAAAAACAGGCTTGATCCACTTTCTTGTGCTTGTTGGCACAGGAGGGCACAGGGAACAGTACCTCCGAGGTCTCTGTGGGTGTGGCCACACATCTTGTGTCTCCCAAGAATCGGATGCGGGGTGGCTGCTGCACCTTGTCTTGAGACAAGCTGGTGGTTCCAGCAAAATGGTACGCAAAGTTGCCACCCACACAGTAAAAGGCTTGAAGAAGCAGTGTTCCAGTGACAAAACTCCTACACACATTCAGCAGTAAGTCAATGTTGTGGTATCAGTAATCTGGTTCCACAGTTATGTAGCTCAACTCAGCGTGGCAGCAGCTTTTAAATGCATTTGAATAGCTCCTGTGAAGGTTTTCATTTCAGATTAATATTATATAATAATAACACGTTCCAGGATTACAGATTATACAAATTCAGCAAGAGGACTGCGGAGATATGCTGGATAGCTCATAAAGAAAGAGAATGCGTAATGTTTCGAGGCATTGTGATTTTTGTAGTATTCATCAGCTCCTAAAATTTGAAATTTGGAGTGATTTTTAAAATTCTAAGCAAATCTTCACCTTTTCCCAATTTTTTATCATGGCAAAATACATGTACAATTTGGCATCTAGACCATTTTTAAGGGTGTAGTGCAGTATTATTAATGCATTCACAATGGTGCACAACCGTCAGCACTGTGCATCTCCAAAAGGAGTTTCATTTTGTAAAACTCAAATGCCACACCAACTAAACAGTAACTCCTCGTTCTCCCTCCCCTAACCCTGCCATTGGTAGCCACTTTTCTATTTTCTTTCTCTGATTTTGGCTACTGTATGTCATGTAAGTGAAATCATATTGTATTTGTCCTTTGTGACAAAGAAGCCAGTGACTGGCTTACTTTCCTGAGCAGAACACACTCCATTACAGCATGTGTCAGAGTTCTTTTCTTTTTAAGGGCTGTGTAACATTCTATTATATGTACAGACCACATTTTCCTTATCCACTCACACCTTGGTGGACACTTGGTTCAGCACTACTCTGGTTCAAGCCACCTTGGGTCCTTCCCTGGATGGCTCCACCCCCTGTACCTCTGGGGGCTCCTCAGTGTGACCACCTCCTTGAAGCCCAGGATTCTACAAAGTGGGACGAGCACAAGGCCACTCTGCTGGCTGTGTCCCCCAACCCAATACCACTACCCTTCCCCTCAGGAGGCTGCCTCTACCTCCCTTTTTCCCATTAGACTCTAATAGCTGCTTCTTCCTCTTGCCTTGCAGCCCAGGGTCACTGCTACAGTTTCCCTGCAGGCCCGCCTTTCCAATGAGTTCCTCTGAAAGTCAGTTTTGCTGGCATTATCCCATCAGCAGAATCTCACATATTTCTTGCTGCCTCTATCTGACAGCTGGTCTACCTACCCTGGCATCTTTTCTTTTTTCTTCTCTCTCACCCCACCCCTTTTTTGGGCAGTACTGGGAATTGAGACCAGCAGTCTACCCTTGAAATATAGCTATTTTTTAATGCAACAACTGAGGGATCCTTTGAAAGTGTAAGAGTTGTCACTCCTCTGCTCAGAGGTCCTCAAGGCTGATCATCTAACTTACAGGAAAAACACAGGTATTCTTTTCTTTCCGTTTCTTAAAAAGTGCCAAAAAAAACAAAACCGGCCTCCGCCCCGAACAAGCCCCTCCCCAACCGCCCCTTGGCCCAAGGCAACAACCCGAAGGGCCCCGGACTCCCCAAGGCAAAACAAGCATGCCCCACTGCAGGGCCGTGACATGGAGGCCTGAGTTCCCTCTGTGACCCTGCCTACACTTCTCCCTGAATGACCAGCCCCTTCATTTCTATCAGGTGTCTGTCAGTTGGGATCTTGGTCTGTTTTCTGTGGCTATAACATAATACCTGAGACTGATTAATTTATAAAGAATAGAAGTTTGTTTTGGCTCATGGTTCTGGAAGCTGGGAAGTCCATATACACAGTGCTGGCTTCTGCTCAGCCTTGCACCATTTCAACTCATGGCAGAAAGCAAGAGTGCAAGTGCAGGTATGGAGAAAGAGACAAAGCACGAGGGGTGACCTTGCTTTTGACAGTCCACTCTTAGGTAAGCAATCCAGTCTTGCAAGAGTGAGAACTCACTCCCAAGAACCTGCACAATCTATTCATGAGTCTCCACCCACATGGCCCTGTGGGGGACAACCTAGATGACTCTCCTTGAAAGAGGAGCAATTGCTTCCATTTTGGCTGAACCTAACTCTACCTCCATGTATTGATATGTACAGAGCTGGCTAGGACCCTTTCCTTATCCCATCAATCGGCTTTAAGCAATGCATATTGGTCTAGCTGAGGTGCTGATGGTAGTCTTTGAAGATGGCAGGTGTGTTTCACCGGACAGCCTGTTGTTCCTACATGTGAGCTGAGATGAGGTAGGATGTGCGAGCCAATGCTCCATGCTGTCAGCAAGATAGAGATTACGACATCCTGGGGCTTGTAAGATTACACATAAGAGCTGAAGCACCAACCCCAAAACATTAGATACTATCTCAGTTGTGTTATGCAGATTACTCTTTTTACATATCCTCCTGTCTGCATTGGTGGAGGTGATTTCAGGCCTCCTACCTACCCCAGCTCATGGAACTCACCTACTTCCCATGGTTCCCACAGTCACTTCATTCTCAAGGGACACCCTTTTTCATGAATGAATGAAACCTAGGTTCAGCTTTGGGTCTAGGTCTTATTCTGGATGCCCATCATTGTGGCTGGACTTAGGACCCCTTGGATCCTCATAACTACAAATATGCCTGAGTGTCTTTATTCTCTCCATGGGTTGCACTGGAAGTAGTAGATTGGCATTAACCCACTAGGATTCCAATAACTTTTCATGGGATTACAAGTATAAACTTCCTGGGCCATGATGAGGACTGGGAAAGGCTCTCTCTATATGGCCCAAACACCTATCAGCCTCCACCTCTGAGCCAAGCCATAACCTGTGCTGCAGTGGCAACACCATTTTCAATCATAGCATTCCACCCCTGGCCCTCCAAAGACTCATGCACATCCCTTTATAAAAACGGCATTTAGTCCATCTGCAAGAGTTGCCAAAATCCTAACAGTTTTGGCATTGCTGAAAAGTCCAAGTCCCAAGTCTTCTCTGAGATGTAAGGCAAGCTCTTAGCTGTGAGCCCCTGTATGAATGAAAAGTTAAACACTTCCAACATTCAATGACACAAAATAAACATTGCCATTTCAAAAGGTACAAACCGGGGGATACAGAGCATTGGGACCAAAGCCAGATTTACATCCAAAATCCAGCAGGGCTAACATTATGTCCTGTAGTTCCATGTCCAACATCTGAAGCAATCTGTGGCACACTGTGAGATCCAACAGGCTTGAGTGACTCCACCCCTATGGCACTTGTGGTGGTTACAGTTTCCATGGTTTCTCTCTTAGGCCCACTTTGTTCTGTCCTTGCAGCTTTCCTCAGACCATCCACGTTTCTGGTTTTTCCAAACTTCTGACGTCTCCACTACACTTTATGCTTCTCATTCACAGCTTCACACACTGCCATCTCAGGGGCACACTGCCCGGCCTCCCAGGCCTTCTGAAATTGAGGTGGAAGCCTTTTTAACCTCAGAACTCTTGCATTCTATATGCACCTAAATCCAGTGCCATGTGGATGATGCCAAGGTGTGCTGCCACCTGGAGCAGTAACCAAGCTTTCCTGTCTCTTGGCCATAGGGGTCTAGTGTGT